TAGGTGATTCTTTTCACGTCAGCATAAGCATTGGTGGACAGAGTTACTCGATACTTGTGTCGGCAGGAGGTATAAGTTGTTACCGTTATTCTTAAAAAATTCAATCAACAATGAATTTGTCCCAAAATTAGTTTGTAGTTGGTTATATAAGTTCTCTTTGGCAGAGTAACGCGTATAAGTTGGCTCGGACACTATTGTTAATTTGAAAAGGGAAGAATAATCAATGATGAATTAGTCCCAAATTAGTTGTTATTGGTTATATAAGTCCTCTGCGTAGCCAGAGTTAACTGGTACTTGTGCTGGTGGGATAGTGGAATCGTCGAGATGCGAGTAAGTAGACCTTGACACCACCCTTAATTTAAAAAAAAGGAGAATAATCAACTATGAATTAGTCCCAAATTAGTTATTGTTGGTTATATAAGCCTTGCGTGTCCGAGGATTTATCATAGTTAGATTCTTTTTATTGGTAAATCTAGTGTAACCCTCTTCCTTTTTTTTGGATTTGAAATGAGTTATGCTTTGTGAAGATCACGTGGTGGTGAAAGGCTATAGCAATGGTGGATTAAATTAAATTAATGCTATTATGTATGGTCAGGAGATAATGTATGTTTAGTTTTTAATTGTTTGAGTGTGATTTATGCTTTTGATTGTCTTGATGCAGGATAAAATATGTGGTTAAAGGACGATTCTTTAATATTTTATTTGATTACCATAATGGGTTTACTTCCTTTTCCTACTTTTAGATGTTTTAAGCTAGTCCATGTTATAAGAATATTTTATTTGATTACCATAATATTTTATTTGATTACCATAATATCATAGTTAGATTCTTTTTATTGGTAAATCTTTCTGTTTTATTCTAATAAATTTCTGCTATTAACAGTTGAACTTGTTTGTTCTTGCTTCTGTTAATGGTTCATTTGTTTCCATGTACTTAGTTATTCTGCTGTTCCTATAAGAGCTCATATACGCATTATCATCCTTTTGGCATAAACAATAGTTTGCTAGCTGATTTTTAGCCCCTGGTGTTTGATCAATCAATTTGCATCCCAAATTAGTTGGGTTGGCTATACGAATCGTATGTATCCCTTCCACTTTATCACACAGATTTCCAACGAATTCAATATTCAAAGGAGTTATCATAGGTAGCATAGTGAATAAAATACTTATGTTGGCCGTCAACCCCCTGCAACCCTCCTACTTTATCTTGGTTCTTTGCCACTGGATGCAGTCACCTGTTGTTTGATAATTTTACTAAATTGTTAAAATTCCATCACATTGTACATTACAAGTACTTACTTCTTTAATTCTTTTCGTTCTTTTAGGTCCGAGATTGGTATTTGGATTCCTTCCGTGACATGAGATCCTATCCAGAAATAAAGAATAAAAATGACGAGTTGGAATTTACACAAATGGTTAAGATGATTAAGGTCAGGCACAATAATGTCGTTCCTATGATGGCTTTGGGAGTCCAACAACTCAAGAAAGATTGGTCTAAAGTTGATTATGAGGATTTGAGAGAAATACACCAATTTCTTGATCGCTTTTACATGTCTAGAATTGGGATCCGCATGCTTATTGGTTAGCTCCATAACTTTCCATGCTTTATTCTTAAAATGATGATCTTTATCTTGTATAAGCTGATAGCTATAACAACTGTTTTTTCACTGCTGAATTTCTGTTAAACTCAGGGCAGCATGTGGCGTTACATGATCCTAATCCACCTCCCAATTGTGTGGGCTATATACATACAAAAATGTCTCCCCTGGAGGTTGCACGAACTGCCAGTGAGGATGCTCGGGGAATTTGCTTACGCGAATATGGAAGCGCTCCTGATGTTAACATTTATGGGGATCCTGATTTTACATTCCCGTATGTTATTTGCTCTTAAATCATTGACTTTATTCTTTGTTTCCCCTCAGATACTCTTTACTGTCTTTTACATATCTCTTGTTCTGTTGAGGTTCCAAAGGGCTATTGATATCCACATGCAGTTATGTCAAGTCCTGTTTCTTCGTTTATGATTCCATTTTTCCGTGCAGTTATGTGCCTACACATCTGCATATGATGGTCTTTGAGTTGGTAAAGAACTCCGTCCGTGCTGTACAAGAGCGGTTTATGGACTCAGACAAAGTTGCTCCTCCTGTTCGTATAATAGTTGCTGATGGTTTAGAGGATGTCACCATTAAGGCATGACCACTTTTTAATCTTATTTTTCTCCGCAAAAATTCCTTCTTACAGTCTAGTTAAGGACTTGTTCCTCTTTATTGTGTATTTTATTTGATTCGGAAAGTCTTCCTTCTGCAGAAGAGGTATGTTTTAGCTATTTTCTTCCACATTACTTAACAAGCATGGCTTGCGTTGATATAGGTTTCTGATGAAGGGGGTGGAATACCAAGAAGTGGACTTCCCAAAATATTTACTTATCTCTACAGTACTGCTAGGAATCCGCTGGACGAGCACTTCACAACAACTGACGTGGCTACTTCAAGCACGTTAGCTGGTTATGGGTATGGAATTCCAATAAGTCGTTTATATGCTCGCTACTTTGGAGGGGATTTGCAGATTATCTCCATGGAAGGCTATGGTATGTTATTTAAATCTCTCAACCTTGTTTGCACCAAAACCATTTTGATTGGTAGATAAACCAACAACACTATCTGATATCAGTGTGGGGGTTTGCTGTTAATAGCATCATGTTGTTACTAAATGAAGAAAGAGTCTGTAGGCAGGTCAATGTGATAATATTTGATATGATAAACAGATCCATACTTGTTGGTTATGTCTTAAAAAAATCTCAATTTCTGCTGATGTAAGGGCTCATTTGATGAGGATGGTGGTACAATCTCTCCAATCTTGGCGTCGCAAAGATTGTATAAACCTGTTAAATATCGGTATCCTTCTCCATTGAGGAGTACATGATCATCTATAAAAAGGGGTTTGTTAAAATAAAAGGGCACCCCGGTGCTCTAAGCTCCCGCTATGCGCAGTCTTACCCTGCATTTCTATAAGACGCTGTTTCCACGGCTCGAACCTGTGACCTCCTGGTCACTTGGCAGCAACTTTACCGGTTACGCCAAGGCTCCAAAAAAAAAAGGAGGGGGGGGGGGGGGTTGTAGATTGCTGATATTATCTTTTTGACCTTTGTTGTTGTTATTGCTTGTTTCTATTGTTCTCTTATCTTCCTGAGTCGAGGGTCTATCGGAAGCAACCTCTTCTCTACCTCCCAAGGGTAGGGTTAAGGTCTGTGTACCCACTACCCAGAGGCGGAGCTAGCCTTATAAGTGCGGGTTCGGCCGAACCTAGTCACTTTTGCTTAAACACTGTATTTATATTAAGAAATTCATTAAAGATGTACAAATATTTAATTGTGAACCCAATAACTAAGACGATCTATTTGTTCCGAGAAAAATTCAGAACCCATAAACTTTAAATCCTGGCTCTGCCTCTGCCACTACCACTACCCTCCCCAGATTCCACTAGTAGGACTCCATTGGGTTTGTTGTTGTTGGTAGTGCACAAAGCTTCGGCTATGGGCTGAATCATATTAGATCTATTGTACGCAGTCTTACGTGAACGTTATATTGTCAATGTCTGATGTGCACATATCTCTTGACCTTTTGCAGGTACAGATGCTTACCTTCATTTATCTCGGTTGGGAGATTCACAGGAGCCATTGTCTTGATATATGATATTGGGAGCTCAATCTTGTTTTGAAAAGTTGCTCTAGGTAGTAAATGATGTACTAATTGGCAAAGCCTCATTGTCAATAGATTATGATTCTCATTGTTCAATAATTAAGGCTTAAAACATACAAAATGCTCAGTTAAACTTGGCTCAGTTTGCAATTTGCATACTTGAATTATGTTATGTTCCTTTTACTTCATGAACTACAATTTTTTATTGTTCATTTTCTCTCTTCTCCTAAAATTAGTATAAATGGAGCACTTCTATCCAGGGGCAAAGCTGCACTTTCGTAAGGGTAGTCAGTTGACCACCTTTCGTCGAAATTACACTATATATATATATATATATATATATATGTAAAATATTAAGTTTTAGAGAAATATAACATATATTGAGCACTCTTTGTCGGGATCCTTTTTAATACTTATTTCAATAGTTTGAATACCCTTGGAGAAATTCCTGGCGCCACTGCTTCTATTTTAAGTGGATTTACATGGTGCAAATTGAATTAGTGGAGCCTGTGGATTTCAAATCAGTTCATTAAAGAAAAAAAAAAAAAAAACAGTATCAGCAGTGAAAAAGATTTTTGAATAGAATATGTATATTAATGCTACTTTAATAAAGATTAGTCTTAGAGTAAATAAATTTTTGGATGACACTCTGGGGTCATGGATCACATGTTAGTTATGCTAAGATTATAACCTTGGGTTGTTTGGTGATTAATAATGAATGGATTGTTATTCTAGAATTAATAATGAAAAATTATTAAACATGAATTGCTTACTCTAAAAGAGTATTATTATTTTCAAATAATTTAATATTTTATTTTATATAAGATAATACAAAAATTCTTACCTAACTAAAAGCTAATTAAATATTGTATAATCTATGGGATAATTTATGATGGATTAATTTTCTTATACTCTATCTGTCTTAAATTATCTGTCGTATTTCTCTTTTACAAGGTCTTCATTACTTAGAAGGTTTTTTTGACTAGTTTACACTTATGTCTTAAGATAATATTTGTTCACTTAATATTTATTTTATTATGTGCCCGTCTTCATAACAATTATTACTAAAAGTAAAATAAGAAAAAATAATTAATTTTATTTTAAACTTCTAAAATTATATTTAACATAATTATTTTTGAAAATTACGACCAATAATTTGGAACGGGGGTGTACTATTTATTGCAACACTTTCCATCATTAGTGAACACAAACCTCAAATTCTCAGATATAAAATAAAGATGTCATATTTACACGTGGCATCCCACTAGCCATAAAATATATACTCCATAATTTCTTTCTTCTTGCCTCCATTTCAATTCTTGAACTCTCTGTAATATGGAACTCCACTTAAACGACTACACCCTCCATTTTATTAAAAAATCCACACACTTACACTTACCAAAATTCCCACACTACCTCCGCCGCCGTCTCCGACGGCAGAGTCCGACCCGCATCGCCACCGTGAGAGTTTCAGCGTCAGCTGAAGCACTGGTGGCGACACCGGAACAACCCGGTGGGAAAATGGTAGTGGAATTAGTGGGTGCTTTTAATGAGCTAACTGAAAGAATGGACAATAAAGTTCTTTCAACGAGCTCTTCAAGATTGTTATTTAAAGCTCTAAAGCTTTGTATTCCTATTCTTCAGTCTTTGCCTCTTGCACCTGACGGCCGAGCTCCGCTCTCTAGAGCTTTGTCTGTTGCTGTTATTTTAGCTGATCTACAGGTAGGTCCCACATACTCTGAGCTTTATCAATGGTAGTTTTCTTGGAACCAATTTTTATGTCTTGTTGTATAATATATATATTTATAATAGTACTTTACTAGCAGCCAAAAAATATCGGAACAAACGACGCTGTTGCAGATAGGTTTGACTGCATCTGACTCATTAAAGTTACTAACTTTAACTATAATAAGTTAGTAACCATACTAAGTTACATGCTGTAAAGTCACAAAGCTATTTTTTTTGTTACATTTGAAGTAACCTAATAATAGTAAAGTTACAAACTTTATCCATTATAATGCTCACTATAATAGTACAGTTACAAAGGCTTACTATAACAGTAAGTTTACAAACTTTAGTCATTGTGATGACAAAAACCATGTGATATTGCTATTATAGTGAGTAAAGTTTTGTGACTTTGCTGTTACAGTGGGTACACATTTCATTGAATTTTGTGTGACAAAAAATAGTTTTGTGACTTTATTGTTATAGTGAGTAAAATGCAGTTGCTTTAATATGAAAAAGTGTAAGATAGTTTGTTGTTCACAAGTTGGAAAGTGGGATTGTTCCCACATCGGAAGAGAGAAGGCCTTTTTGGAGCCTTTTAAGCACTTGTCCCTTTTATGTCTTTGATTTAGGATACATACTTTTAAGTGTGTGCAATTAAGTACACTATATATTTATATATTATATAATCAAAGACTTGGACTTGGAAATTGGACCGGGTCGGATCCTAAAGTTAATTATTTTATTTGTGACAGAAAAATCAAATTTATTTGAATTTTAAATTCAAAATTCGAATAAATAGTTATGTCTGTTATGAAAGGGTCCAACCAAATATGTCTGTTTGTGAAACAAGACATCTTTTCTGAAAGGGTCTGTTTGTTGCCTATAAATACACAATAATTTCCAACGAAGTGGTATAGAAAATATTGCAGGCTTTGTTGTATCCTGAAGAGAATCGTTTTGTATTTCCCTAAATTAGTATACAGGCGATAACTCTTTAAAGACAGTCGATTTTCACGCCTCAAAGCCAATTTTGTTTATTATTTTCTAACAAAAAGTAGTTTTGTGACTTTAATGTATAGAGGGCAAAGTCCAGTGCCCATACATGAAATAAACATGACATTTACACCATGATTAGTTAATTAACTTTACGAATTGAGATTAGGGCGAATAAATAAAAGCTATTTTGCGGCGGGGGGGGGGGGGGGGGGGGGGGGTAAGTTTAGCTAATAGAATTAATTTTATGAAGAAGAGATGAAGAAAGGGAGCTAGAGTAGAGTAAACGGAAATTACCTCCAAAGATTCTACCTTTACTTAATGTATGGAACAAACAGAAATTTTTTATGATTTAACAGTCATTTTATCCATAGTTGTCTTAAAAATGACTTGTATATAGGAAAAGGGAAACAACACATTTTTGCATATTTGCCATCCATAGTTGATTTTTTTGATAAGGATTTGCCATCCATAGTTGATTGATTGGTTGATTTGAAGTTTATGCTCCTTAAGCTTATATATTACATTGTTTGGATGTGTTGCCAAAATTCTGGTAATGTCAGGGTGGATGGGGGAATGTTTCCAAAGTTTTTATTAAACCTTTTTGTTGTTAAAGTAGATGGTTTGAAGAGTGACGATCTAATCGGATAATAATGCTGGAGTAGATGCTTATATTCAAACTTGATTTTCTCACCAATTTTCGAATCACTACCTGGGGAATTCAGAAGCCAAAGCATGAAAATTTTGACCCCTTGTCGGAAGCTTGCTATTGGTCCCTCTGTGTGTGTGTGTGTGTGTGTATGTGCGTGTGCATGCTCAGCTTAAGTGAAAGCTAAGAGGTATCTGCCATTTGTTACAGATGGATGCTGAAGTTATATCAACTGGGCTACTAAGAGAAGTTCTAGAGGCAGGTGCTATATCAATTTATGATGTTAGAGACCGGATTGGTACGAGTACTGCTCATTTATTGCATGAAAGCTTGCGTGTGAAGCATATGTCGTTAAAGGTAGAAGTATTGGATGATGATAGTGCCACCGCATTAAGGAAATTTTGTCTGACCTACTATGATGTTAGAGCATTAGTATTAGACCTTGCTATCAAGCTTGATATGATGAGACACTTCGATTATCTACCTAGGTACCGGCAGCAGATGATATCACTTGAGGTTATGAAACTACATGCTCCTCTAGCACATGCTATCGGGACTAACCTATTATCTCTTGAATTGGAGGATCTGTCTTTTCGATACTTGTTTCCTTACTCATATCTTTATCTTGATGCGTGGTTGAGAAGTCACGAGAGTGGAAATAAGCCTCTGATAGACATTTGCAAGGAACAGCTGCTTCAGTCCCTTAAATCCGATCCGCTATTAATGCAAATGGTGAGCAAGATATCTGTTGAGGGTCGTTATAAAAGTCGTTACAGCACCATGAAGAAGCTCTTGAGAGATGGTCGCAAGCTTGATGAGGTGAATGACATCTTAGGTTTACGAGTTGTTTTGACTCCTCTCTCTGCTGGAGTAGACGAAATGGAAATTGGAGAAAAGGCTTGCTATAGGGCGCGTGAAGTTGTCCTATCTTTGTGGAAAGAGATACCAAGTCGGTCAAAAGACTATATCTTAAGGCCTAAGGCTAATGGGTATAAGAGTTTACACATGGCTGTTGATACCAGTGAACGTGACCGGACCAGACCGCTAATGGAAATTCAAATACGAACAGCAGAGATGGATATACTGGCCGCTGGAGGGACAGCATCCCATGCTTTGTACAAGGGTGGTGTTACCGATCCTGAAGAGGTAAACATCAAGAGACAAATATTTGATCCCATTTCATAATGCCAGTATAGTTTAAATATAAAGAACCTGTAATTGGAAATGTCATCAAAACTGGATTCAGGAATAACTATTCTTGTTACATATTGCAATAACCGTAATCTTTGTTATCAAATCATACACAGGCGAAGCATCTGAAGGCAATCATGATGGCTGCAGCGGAGTTTGCAGCATTGCGTCTTAAAGATCTTCCTTCGGGAAATCCCAAAGGTCTGGAAACTGACAAGAGAGGTAGGGTGTTCCGTCTTCTTGACAAGAATGGAGATGGTAAACTCAGCATTGACGAACTTATGGAAGTGATGGAAGAGCTTGGAGCACCTGGAGATGATGCACGGGAGATGATGCAACTTCTTGATTCAAACAGTGACGGTTTTCTGAGCTCAGATGAATTTGATTTGTTTCAGGATCAGGTATGTGAACTAACGTAAGGTTATTTAAACTTTTTTGGGATCGAGGCGTAGTTGTTGTTGGGAAAGATTAAATGTGGAAGTAGTACTTACATTGACAAAAGTTTCGCCTAATTTCTCTACATTCTAATTCTGAAAGAAATTAGTTTCATAAAATTCGTTCTCACAGTGGAGGGCAAATTAATATGACGACTATCATGTATCTTCGGAAAGAATGACCAGCTGAACATTTGGCTTTTGGACTAGATCATTACCTAGAATTGTTAGCTACAGAATATGTCACAGCTGAATATAGGTAGTTTTACATTTATGATAATTGATCTGATTCTGGATCATCGAGGGGTAATATTCATTCATCGAATTTACATGCTAAACGGTTATCGCTCTACGGTACTGAATCCTGTGTTATTGCAAAGTAATGAGTTTTCTTAACTACAAAGTATAAATATGGAATTTCTTTCGACCCATTGTTCTCTCAACGTTTCAACACAGTCCTAGTTTTTGATTATTCACTTTATGACCGTTAAGTAAGAGAGTTTTTGCAGTTGCATGATATATTAGCAAGTTTCTAAGCAAATTAATTCTCTAACATGTTCACTTCTGACATCAATATTAATGTCGTTTCAGATTGAGTTTATCCGGAATATAGAAGATAGAGATGATCAATACCAAACCTTGTTAAATGAAAAGCTGCAAATGGCAAATGAAACTGGTTTGATTCAAGTGTACAGTAAAGAGCAAGGTGATACTTTGTAACAAATTTTAGTACATTTTGTAAAATATGTGTTCTTTGTATGTATTTATATATTGAGGAGGTTCTGCCCTATACAGGTAAAAGATATTGAATCCCTCTGTATAAAGTTATTTGACCATGGTCTATATCAAATATATGTAAAAGAAATTGACTCAGTCTGTATTTAGTTATTTGTGCACGGTCTCAATCAAATACATCTGTATGTGCAATACATATCTTTTCTGTGTTGCAACACACTTCTTTTCTGTTGTAAATAGTGTTTTATCAACAGAATGTGCACATAAGTAGAGCGGATCCAGTATTTAAACTTGATGAGTTTGACCTTTAATGTTTTAGCACTGAATTGTCGTGCTTTTGAAAATTTCTATGGCGTACTGACTCATTCTTTAGGCTAGTATTTGGATCCCGGAACAACGTTTCTAAGGTTTCCAACTATGTTGTTTCGACTCTTCAAAAATATCGTTGCATGCATGTCGATCCTCCAAACGGGTGGCTCGACTATAAGGCCAGTAAAGCAATCGCTTGGGGCCCAACTTTTTGGGGGCCCCATTTTTTCCTTAAAGATGTATTGTATATGTATTATTTTAAAATGTGTGTACATTAAAATATAAAAAGATTTTTTTGAGTGAAAGTATAACAACTTTAATGTGAAGATTGTTGTAATAATTAGAAAATGGAATAACGTTTAATAAATTGTTTCCTTACATGGGTAGGGTAGTTAATTTTTTTTTCTTTCTTTTTTTGCCTCATATCCTAACAACTAATATGGGCCCACATTATTATTTATATATTTACCTTTTTCATTCTCTCTTTCACTATTCTTATTCTCAATATTGAAAAGTCTAACTTACCCCGGCTTACAAGTAGTCTTCTTCAAAGCATTACAACAAGCAATTATATATTGAAGCAAATCAACACTTTTCGATATCATTATATCAACTTATCTTGCTCTATAGTTTCTTACCCTTTGATTTCTGTTACTAGCTATTCGTTACTTTATTTCCATACTGCATTGAATTGATTGTCCTTATCTGACCTCTTTTTTGCCATGCTTTCTCTTGAGTCGGGGGTCTTTCGCAAACAACATCTCTACCTCCCAAGGTAGAGGTAAGGTCGCGTACTCTCTACCTCCCCCCCCCCCCCCCCTACTTTGTGAGTTTTCGTTGTGTATGTTGTTGTATATCAACTTATCAAATTCTTAGGCCGGTTTTATTATTCTACCTTTATTTTATACTTTTTCATTGAAAATTTGTCATTGATACTTAGGGCCTCTCTTTGAAATTTGGCTTTAGGCCCCCAATCTTGTTGAGACGGCTTGCTCCAAAAGTAGTACACTTTGGAGGATCCGACACGAATGCAATAACATTTTTGGAAAGTTCAAGCCACATCGATTTCCACTACTGAGACAAGCTGTCATGTACTCCAACTCAGAGATTGTTTAAATTTAGAAGGGATAGGAGGAACGCCTTGACTCTGCATGAATCGTTAAGTTTCCTTAAATGCAACTAGGTTTCAAATTATTTTTCTTTATAGTGTTTAGGAACATTAAAAAGAAAAACCAAATACATGTACATGATGTAAAGTCATAATAAAGAATACAGGGAGATTTTTAAAAATAGCCAGATTTACGACTGGTCGTTCAAAAATAGCCCAATTTCAAAAGTAATCGAAATTTAGCCACTTTTTATGGAAAGATAAATCTGAGCGAAAACACTGTTCAAAACCCAGAAAATACTCCAGTATATTATGCTGGAGTTCCAGCATAAGTATGCATGAACTCCAACATATTATACTGGAGTTCCAGGATAAGTATGCTGGAACTCCAGCATAATATGATGGAGTTCCAGCATAAGTACACTAGAAGTCCAGCATAATATACTGGAGTTCCAGCAAGTATAATTGTCCAGTATAATATACTGGAGTTTGGAGCACAAGTGCTCCAGTCTCCAGTATATTATACTGGAGCCAGCAAAGTATACCGGTCCAGCATAATATGCTGGAGTTCATACACAGGTGCACCGAACTCCAGTATATTATGCTGGACCGGTCTCTGTTGCAGCAAAACGGTGGCTATTTTTCATTGACTTTGTAAACGCTGGCTATTTTTGATTGACCAGTCCGAAAACTAGCTATACCGTGAAATTCATGATCCAATTCAATTGGATGCCCGTACAAAGAAAAAAGTCCACCACGCATATAACAATTAATAATAGTGTATAGTAGACAAGGAGGCAAAAAACAAAAAGTATGATATCTTATCGAGGACATGACCCTTGATAGGAGGGTTTAAAGGTCGAGAATTAGGGTAAAGGGTTAGTAGATAATTGAGCGTTTTTCTTTTCTTTTCCCAATACCAGTAGTATTAGTATTACTATTTTATCTTTCTTTTCCCAATACCAGTAGTATTAGTATTAGTATTGTATCTTTCTTATTCTTAGATTGCTATTATTACCTGCTGTTTGATTGCAATTTCTTAATATCTTGCTGGTGTTACTGCTTGTTGTAACTGCTTCCTTTAATCTTTTCTTGAGCCGAGTGTATTGGTACCAGTCTCTCTGCCCTCCCAGCCCTCCCATAATAGGGGTAAGGTCTGTATACACACGATCCTTCCCAGACCTTACTTGTGGAAATTTACCGGGCTTTTTGTTGTTGTTGTTGTTATATAATAGACAGTAAGGCAAAAAGCAAAAAGTATTAAGTAAAGACATGATGTTTTCTAAGTAAATTATTTTGCTATATAAATGTGCAAAATGACAGCTACTTCGGACCAACTATAATTTCTTACAACAGCTGTTGTATGAGCATTACAAAAAGACATATATTTATAGTTGCATCTCATTTGCAGTCTTGTACTTTACTACTCTCAACTCTTGAGGTAAATTCTTTGTTCCCGGATAATAAAGAATGGACTTGACCATTCGCAACAGTTCCAACTTTCATAATTTGGTGGGCAAGAGCTCTTCACTTTGCTGGACACCCAATTCATTTGATAACCTATTGCACAACTGTGGAACAAAAAAATGTTTTGATCAGTGTTTGAAGTTTAAAGACCAGAGACGAATCCAGGATCTAGAGTCGGTCAATTTAGAATGAGTATGATGTCAATTTAAGCACAAGGTAGTTGTAGTATAATGGTGACTATTCCCGCCTGTCACGTGGGTGACCCGGGTTCGATCCCCAGCAACGGCTTTTATTTTTCCACTTGTGGGAATATACTGGGCTATTATTGTTGTTGTTATAATGTTATTGTGTGTATACATTATAAACTTTTAATGTACATATAGTTCGAGCTGAAAGCAATGAGTTTTATAGCCTGTTTGGCCAAGCTTTAAAAATAAGCTTATTTTGAGAAACGCTTTTACTCAAAAGGTGCTTTTCTTTGGTGATGAGCAATTCGTGTTTGACTAATTAGTTTGAAAAGCACTTTTGAGCAACAAATAATGTTTGGCCAAACTTTTAAAAAGTGCTTCTAAGTGTATTTTCTCAAAAGTGTTTTTCAAAAAGTGCTTTTGGCTAAAAGCTACTTTTTTCTGCTTCTCCAAAACTGTTTTTGCTTTTGCTCAAAAACATTTCTTCTAAAAGCTTGGTCAAACACTTCAACTATGAAAAAAAAGTGCTTTTGGCCACACAAGCTATTAGTTGAATCTGCAGAACTCGTCCTGGATCCACCTCTGATTGTTACCTAAGTTGCTCCGACATGGTAGTTTAGGTGCCGTACCCGTGTCGACACAACACTAGTATGGATATGGGTATGGGATCCGTACAGGATCTGGTCAAACAATTTTGGGTACTTTGACCGCGACGGACGGAAAATTTGAGACGAGATACAAATTGATTCCCGAAATCAGAACCAACACTAGGATAAATTTTAGCATACCTTATCTAGGAAATCAATCCTTTACTTATCTACAACTTGAGAATAAAAAAGAAATCCACATTTTACAAGCTATATATAAGTATTCCACAAAATTTCTCATAATTTAGATATATTTTTATATTTTTTGAATTATTTTTAGTAGGATCCTCGCACCCGTATCCGTACTAGGATCCGTATCCCTGAATCTTAGAATTTACGTCACGAAGGATCTGACCTCTAGATCCGCACCCATGTCGGACACCCGCACCCATGTCAAAGCAACTTATACTGTTACAATGTAGATGAGGGTGTAGAGACATACCTCTCTATATACCGTAGAATCCCCTGAAGATTTTTGTAACTCTACAACATACAAGGATGTGCTAATCTCAAAAACCTGCAAATGATAGAATTATTAAATGTTCTTTGTAGTATTATTCTTGAATCACAAGGGAAATTAAACATCTCAAATGTGACTTACCTCTGCTACTATAGAAAGACTGGCTTGAGTTTTTTGAACTTTGTGTTCTAGCAATACTTTCAACTACAATAGACATAAACCAAATATATTCTTAACTTGTGTATCTGAAAATTTACTTGTTATATGGACATTATAATACAAAATTACAAACTTATGAACATATATCATATATTCATAGGTACTAACCTTTCCAGGTTTTTTCTGGACTTGAAATCCCATTTGCACTGCTAAATGTTCAATCCTCTCTAGCAATTCTTTTGGAGAGAGATTAGATGTGAATCTGATCTTCCTCTCAGAGGCATCCTACAGTAATTCCAAGTCAGTCGACGAACTTTTATTGATCAATCGTTGCATGATTCGAAGAAATTAAAGTTAAGAACTTACTTCATTTTCAAAAAATCCAGAAAGATCAAAACATGAGGACATCCCAATTAGCTGAAAGGCATTATTGATAACAGAAGGTGATTCTGGATCTCTTTCTGTGTCAAGTGGCTGTGCCAATGATAAAGGAAACCAATTAGTCATAAATCATGACATTGTTAAAGATACAATTAAGTAAACAAAAAATATCATCTTTAACGTCTCACAGCCTTGGCGTAACTGGTAAAGTTGTTGCCATGTGACCAGGAGGTCAAGTTCGAGCCGTAGAAACAACCTCTTACAGAAATGCACAGGGTAAGGCTGCGTACAATAGACCTTTGTGGTCCGACTCTTCCGTGGACCCCGTGCATAGCGGGAGCTTATTGCACCGGGCTGCCCTTTTTAATGTTTCACGGCCACTCATTATTTAAAAAAAAATTCCAGGTGCTTGGCTAGAGTAAAGGTATCTAGCTGGCACGTACCATCTCTAATAGGTTAAACTTTTAAATGAGATGA